GGCGGAGCTTGGAAGAAAGGGGCGGGAGGGTGGCGCGGAAGGACCTTGGGATCTGGTGCAATGAGTAGATTTCAAAGATACCACAGTGAGGTCACAGTACGTGACTGAGCAAGCCCTTGGCCCCAGGTTGACAATAAATGGCCATCTCTTTTTTCTTTTTCGTCATTATCACTCGATATTTCTGATCCAATCCAGAATAACTGTGCCCAAAGCTCCAGAGCCGTGCTTCCATGACATGACCTTCCCCAGCTCTCCTCGAGCACCTCGTGTTCAATTTGTACAAAACTTTCTTCTCAAAAGTGCAAAACTGTTTTTAAATTTTAAAAAAATGTAAAGTGATTCGTGAATACCTCACTTTTCTGTAATCTAAATTTAAAGTAGTTTAACATAAGTCATACAATATAGAACATAAAGATGAACTAAAAAAAAATCAAGGCTTAAAAAAAAGGTCAGAATAAAATGAAAGGCAAGGAATAGGAACACAGATAAGCAGGCCCTGGGGCTTTGTACAGTTATTAAAGTTGAGCCATTCCAGTTCTTTTCCTGGTGGCCAAACTAAGGAAAACACATAGAAGTGAGTCTTGCTTTCTAAAAAGAATAGGGCTGTTCTTGAATGTTGTTAGATTCTTTCCTTGGTTGCAGCTCTTAAAGTATCTGGGGAAATAAGGTATCAGGGGCCTTATTTGAATAATAAGCAATGTCTTTGCATTAATTATCTATTGTTAGGTCATAAATTGCCCCAAACTTTGCGGCTTGAAACAAGCAATAAATTTAATTTCTAACAGTTCCGGAGGGTCAGGAATCTAGGTGCGATTCTGACTCCCAGGGCTCAGACACTCCATCTCCCCTGTCCCGCAACCACGTGGCAGCCAGGGCTGGTGTCGTCTCAAAGCTGGGAATCATCTTTCAAGCTTACGCGTACAGCAGCTGGCCAGCCCCAAGGCCTCTGGCAGTGGGCTAGAGACATCCATTCCTGCCACTTGCAGCTTTCTGTAAGAAAGCCACTGCTACTTGAAGAGCAAGGAATTAAAGAGAAAGAAATGGCTGGGAATATAACTCAGTGGTACAGTGCTTGGAGAGGGAGAGGGGGAGGAGGCTGGGCTGTCTTTTGTCTTGAAAACTCCCTTCTGCTGAATTCCTTTACTCAGCTAATGAGATCTACTGATCACCTGCCTTCTTTCACTCATCATTATGTCTATGCAGTTTTTGCACGTTAGTGTAATAGCAATTTTTTATTACTGTGTCATAGTCCATTGTATGAATAACTACAATTTTATTTACCATTCTGCCGTTGATAGAGAGTTGGTCCATTTTTAGCCATGATGAATAAAACTATGACCATTCCGTGAATGTCTTTTGGTGGACATACAGATTCCTACACGAGATACTACTAGTAAACACTTCCCCTGTCAATTCAGGTGCTCAAAGGTGCAAATGCCACAATGGAAATTGATGTGGAAGCACTTTCTGGGGGAAATGCCTGGGGGAGGTCATGGAAAGAGTGTCATCAGATCCAAGTCCTCCTGCTCACCACTCAAAAGCCAATATTCAAGGGGCAAGAGTTGGTGGGAAAGAAATCAGGTTTATTTATAGACAGGCACCCTGAGAAGATGGGAGGAATCTATTGCCACCCCCCAGAACCTCAAAAAACCATACCATCAAAGGAATTAAGATATGGAAAAGAGCTTTAATAGGGAAGGAAAAGAGATACAGCTGAACACGGTTGGGCAAGGCCCACCCAGCCTGGGCCAGATGTTGAAGTCAATGTTGACCTCTTGTAGTATCTTCAATAGCTCCTATGTTTTCTTTAACCAAACACACTATTTTTCTTTTTTTTTTTTTTTGTACTGGGGATCGAACTCTGATCCTTGAGCTTATAAGGCAGGCAACAGAACCACTGAGCTAAATCCCCAGCCCACCAAACACACTATTTTTGTGCAAGTTAAGCCTCACGGCAATTCACATGCTTAGTGTTGCTTGGTGACAAGACTAGTTTAAGGATGGATGTTACAATCTGAGGGTCACCAGATTTACTGGTTTTATAAATCTAGAGAAGGATTATTTAGCAATTAGCATCTTAATCATTTAGTTGCAGCTTCTCTTTAAAATTTAGATTTGGGGGGGTCTTTTTTTTTTCAGTGCCAGGGATGAAAGGCAGGAATTGAGCTTGCTAGCAAGCATTTGATCACTGAGCTACATCTCCACCCCTTTTGAGTTGGAAATGCTGGCCAAAGGGAGGGGATGTCAAAATACAATTCCCAAAGGGCCAGCCACTGTTACCAAAGAGCACAAGAGTCAGCAAGAAGAGCCAGGCCACAGTGTAACTGGGAAAGCTCCACAGTCTCATCCAAGCTGACCAGTATTGGAGCTGTTTGTAAGGCAAGAATGACCTGATCTAGGGCTCTTTCAGTGGGTAGTGTTTGGCTGGCAGCAGACCGGGGACGGTGTAATCTCAGGTGAACACTGGTGGACCAAAGGTACAGCAGCTGGAGGCCACTGACCAGCTAGCCCCCTTGTGGCAGGCTTGCTTGAAGAGAGATCTCGTCTTCGATGCTACCACCCCAACCACCCCACTACCAAACAAGTAGTTCCATCAATATAAACTCACACTTGCGTTTTATGAGAACTTCCCTTACATTATCTTTGTTTTTTTGGTTTAGACATTTTGATGGCTCAATACAAGGATCTCGTTGTGTTTTTTCAATTGCTTTCCCCCAAAAAACAAACCAGCCTAAGAGAAACAAAAGCATAAAATAAAATTACATATCCTCTATTGATGAATCTCAGCACCTTTTCATGCTTTCCTTTTTTGTGATGTGCTGTCTGAGTCCTTTATCTATTTCCTAACATCAGTTGTCTCTTCTTATTGCTATAAGAAGTCCTTTTTTACAGAGGTGGGAATGGGCCCAGGGCCTTGAACATGATGGAAAGTCCCTACCACTGAGTTGCGCTCGAAGCCCAAGAAGTTCTTAATAGGTTCTGATACAAGTCTTTTGGCAGAGGTATGTCTTGTTGGTAATCTTCTCCCACTCTCTGGCTTGCTTTCCCTCCTCTTTAATATTGTTTTTTGCTAAACAGCAAATCAAAATTCTTTAAATTCCTCATACGCTTCCATTTCCTTTCACCTGGGAGTTTTCACACAAACTGACTTCTTCACATCTCAGCACTCTCTTCCCCTGGAAGCCTCACCCACTTCTACGGTCAGGATGGGTGACACAAATCCTGCTCACCGGGTTTCTCCTCTCTCCTTATCTCATTTGCTTTCTCCTTCACTCTCACTCTTGCTCTCTCATTTTCTAACTCTGAAAGGATGGATTTTGTTCTCTCTGACCAGCTTTCCTCTTTGCGTTCAGAAGGAAAAGCAGCCTTCAGTAGTTCTTCCATTTCATATCTACATTTTCCACTACTGGAAAACAGAATATGACTACCCCTTTTTTATCTGTTAAATTAAATGTATAAAAGGTCATTGTTTGGGGCTGAGTTCCTGTACCAGGCCCCAACAGACCAAACTAGAATAAAATCTCTCCTGCTAACCTTCCATGGCATGAAACATAAACTAAGCTGTTTATCTGACCTAAGGAATCAGGAGAGAGGGCCAGGGATTTAGCTCAGTGGCGCCATACCTGCTTGGCAAGTGCAGGGTCCTGAGTTTGATTCCCGGTATAAAAAAAAAAAAATCATGAGAGAGACGATAGCCAAGTTCCAAAACAGGCCTGCATGATACAGAAGTCCCCTTGGCTTTAACTCTCAGAAGGAGAGTAATCTATTTACCAATCTACTTTCTGTACTATGCACTTTTCTTGTTCCTGCCCAAGCTACTTTATAAAAACCAACTGTCCTATCACTTCTTGGCCTTTTGGCTCAGATCAAGTATAAAAACCAATTGTCCAGGGCTGGGGATTTAGCTCAGTGGTTCTGGTGCCTGCTTCACAAGCGCAAGGACCTGAGTTTGATCCCTGGTACAAAAAAAACAAAAAACAAAACTGTCCAAACTGTCCAGCCATTCCCAACTGAGTACCTTTTCTAAATCTTTAGATGAGATGCTACCTGATTCATGAATCACTAATAAAAAGCATGCTGTGGTTTGGATCTTAAATTTCTTCCCAAAGATCCTGTGCTAAAGGCTTGGTCATCAGCCCATGGTGTTATTGGGAAGTAGTGAAACAGAGGCAAGAGATGAGGGCACGGCCAGCTGACTGGACAAGTGGGAGTGACCTGTCAGTCAGACATCCAGGACACGTGCTCAATCCCTGCACCTGGGACTAATCAGAAGATGCTATGGAGGTCAAGCAGGTTTTTGTTTTGTTTTGTTTTGTTTGTTTTTTGAGACAGGGTCTCACTATGTAGTTGAGACTGACCTGGAAATCACTATGTAGCTCAGGCGGGTCTCCAACTCACAGCGATCCTCCTGCCTCAGCCTCCCAAGTGCTGAGATTACAGGAGTGTGCATCACACCCGGCTCAGAAAGAGGAATGTTAAAATGACAGGCAAAGCCGGTTGTCTTAGTCACTTTCTCATCATGGAGAAACAATACCTGACACTGACAACTTCCAGGAGAGGTTGATTGGAGCTCATGATTACAGGTGTGATTGGCCAGCTCTAAGACATAAGCATCACGGCAGAGGGGCACAGCGGAGGAAAGCTTTTCACATCATGGTGGCCAGGAAGCAGAGAGAGAAAGGAAGGTCAGGGAGGGAGAGAGGCCCTTCTGGATCACAAACTCAGCAACCTGCTTCCTCCTGCCAGGGTCTACCTCACCCGCATAATCCGGTCACCTTCCAAACACGAGGCTTTCTGTAGAGCTAAGCAATGGCTATGGCCTGGGGCTGGGGGCACAGTTCCGAGAGGTCCCTTGGTGCCAACCCAAGAAAGTAAATGTTAAAATTTTTACACAGATGAATGCCTCATACATTGATAGTGGTAATGTAAAATGGTGCATTCCTTAGAAAAATAATCTGGTAGTTCATCAATAGGTTAAACACAGATTTTTACCAAATGATCCTATAATTCCACTTCTGGGTATATATCAAGAATAATGAAAACATCTGTCCACCCAAAAACTTATACAAAAACGTTCATGACAGCATTATAGTCAAATCTGTCCATCAGTTGATAAACCCATAAATAAAAATATTTTTGTTTTTGTTTTGGTACTGGGGATCGAACTTGGGTCCTCCCGCTTATGAGGCAGGCGGCAGCAGCACTGAGCTAAATCCCTGGCCACAAACAGAATGTGTGTGTCTACAATGAGTATTATTTGGCCATAAGCAGGGTGAAATGCTGATACGTGCTTCAAATAGGGGTGCATCTTGAAAAATGTTATGCTGAGTAAAAGAGGACAAACTCTGTCATGAAAGGCCAAATTCTATGATTCCAGATACGTGAAATACCCAGCACAGGCAAACCCCTGAAGAAAGAAAAATTAGTGGTTGCCAAGCACTTGGGTGGGGGAGAAGGGAGAGCAGACACCAGCAGGTACAGGGTGAAGAAAGTGTTCTGGAATAGCAGAGTGGTGGCAGATGCATGACTATACGCAGAGTATAATCACTGAGTTTACACCTTAAAAGGGGGTACTTTATGGTAGATGAGTTGTATCTCATCAAGCTGGTAATTTTTTACACATGAACATACAGTGCCTTACACATTGTAATTGGTCGCTTGGTGTCTGTTTCAACTGACTGTGAAGTACACCAGGGCAGTGACTGGGTATAACTTCTTCTCTACTGTTGCTGACTTGCCTGGCCCTGTAATAAATGCTCAAGAAGTATTTGAATGAATAAGACCAGAGAAGAACATCTCCTCCAGCTCCTAGAGATCCCTCACTCCTGATTTTTGTTTGTTTGTTTGTTTTGAGACAGGGTCTCACTATGTAGTTGAGACTGACCTGGAACTCACTATGTAGCCCAGGCTGGTCTTGAACTCACAGCGATCCTCCTGCATCAGCCTCCCAAGTGCTGGGATTACAGGGGTGTGCACCATGCCCGGCCCTCATTCCTTTCTCTGAGGGTGGCAGGGGTCTCTGCTGCAGCTCATCTTCCCAGCCTAACTTCTGTGGTCCACATCTGTGTCACCTGCCCATGGGCCTCCGTAGCTATAGCACTCCATTCTCTGGGCAGGTTTTAAGGTCTCTTGTCAACACCTGAACGTGTATGTTTCTTTCTGCCAAATTCATGCATTTTTGCTTTTCTTCTTTTCCTTTGAAAATTTTCTCCAGTGTTTCTGTTTTCGTGCAAAGATAAAGATCAATTTTGGATCGGCTCCCCATGCCATACCTAGACATCCAAAAGGTTTCTAAACCTTCTCATATGAATCAGCTTTGCCACTGCAGGACAAAATACCCAATATTCCAACTTAAAGAGGAGAGAGGTCTTTTTAAAGCTCATGACTCCAGAGGAGTCAGTCCGTGGTCTGCTGATTCCAAGGCAAAAACATCATGGAGGAAAGATATGGCAGAGAAGAGGTACTGAGCTCCTGGAGGCCAGGAAGCTGAGCAAGAAAACAATGCCCGATGAAGAGGGCCATATACGCAGAACCAAAGCCACATCTTCATGACCCACCCAGATACACGCAAAAGTGTACTCTACTACTCTGCAGGGCATTTCTTATTCCAGTGAGGTTGACATGTCATCATCAACAGTCACACTTCTCCAGTGGCTTCAGACTTGCTTACCTGCATTAGAATCTGGTGCTCTGCATTTTCTGCCAACATTTTGGAAAAGAATATAGCAGAAATAGAGCAGAATACCTCAGGGGTGGCAGTAGTTGGCCAGGAAGTTTCTACAGCAGTCTGAAAACCGAGGTTTTCCAGGACTCTCAGGAAGACTCTAAAATGAACATCTTTTGAGAGAGGGTGGACATGTTATTTTCACATTCAAGGAATGATGGATTCTCTTATCAATATATTATTTAAAGCTCAGAGAAAACACACACACACACACACACACACACACACGCACACACACACACACACACATACACAGAGCTAGTAAGTTATCGAACTAGGATTCAGACTCCAGCTGTCTGACTCTTAGATTCACACTCATAAACCCTGAATCATGAGTTAATACACAGACAAAAGTAGAATTTTACCACAATCTAACCTGACATATGTAATACTTTTCTTTCTGGTGATGCTAGAAATCAAACCCAGAGCCTGGTGTATGCTAATCCACTGAGCTACATCTTCTGCTCCTGTATTATGCTTATTTATCCTAGTTATGTTTGTCTCTCTCATGACAGTTTAAACCCCACAAGGGCAGAGCTCTTTGTCTATTTTTGTTAATTACTATATCTGCCTCTAGAACCAACCCTAAGCATGAAGGAAGTACCCAGTAAGTATATTTGGAATGAGTGGGCACTCAAAATAGTTAGCATCTGGGTGTGGTGGCGCACGCCTGTAATCCCAGCACTTGGGAGGCTGAGGCAGGAGGGTTGCCATAAGTTCGAAGCCAGCCTGGACTATACAGTGAGGCTCTGTCTCAAAAAAGAAGGTTATAGTTTAGATTTAGATTGTCCCCCAAAACTCTCATGCGCTCAGAGGTGGGGCTTTTGGAAGATGACTGGACTATGGGGGTGCCATACTCATCACTGGATTCATCCCTTAGCAAGTTCAGAGCTAAACTGCTGTTAGGAGGCAGGACCTGGTTGGAGGTGGTCACGGGATGTGTGATCTGGAAGGGTGGATTCTTCTTCCGGGTTCTTTCTTTCCTGGTTACCGTGGGTCAAGCAGCTTTCCTCCATCCAGGGCCTCCCACTGTGCTGTTTCTGCCTCGGCACCAGTGACCATGGTCTGGAACTTCTGAAACTGAGCCAAAATGAACCTCTCCTCCTCTACGTTGCAAGTGCTGGGTGTTGTGTCTCAGCCATGGGAAAGTGACTAAGATGGTTAGCTATTAGCTTCTAGCAAATAATAGGCCTGTCATCTCTTTCTAAATACAAGGGAAATCATTTCCATAGAGGTTCATTTTTTCAGCACCCCACAAAAAAAAGGCAAAAGCTTTGAAAATAGTGTTTCACCTTCTCTCTCTCTCTTTTTTTTTTTTGGTACCTGGGATTGAGCTTGGGTCAGGCCACTGAACCGCTGAGCTAAATCCCCAGCCCATGTGTTTCACCTTCTCTACCATCACCACACCTCTCTCCCTTTTCAAGTTTTTTTGAGACAGGGTCTTGCCATGTAGTTCAGACCGACCTGGAACTCACTATGTAGCCCAGGCTGGTCTCCAACTCACAGCGATCCTCCTGCCTCAGCCTCCTACGTGCTGGTATGACAGACGTGCACCACCACACCCGGCCACACCTCTGCGTTTTCCTGAGACATGAGTGTCCATGTGGATGACCATGAAATTCCATGTCTTCAACTGATGACCTTTCTGTTCCACTAAAGCCTCCCACAGGAATGGCCCTCGTCCTTCCTGAATGTCTAGATTTCTGAAATTTTTAACTCCGGTATTCTCTGTGTACCTGTCCTCCTTGGCAAGTGGAATTTCCCAAGATGGCTGCAAGGAGACCTCCCATCCCCTGTGCTCTTCTTCAGTGCCGTGTTAACACTGGGTCTGCATGCCCTCCTCTCGAATCCCAGAGGGTCTGTGGCTGCTGGAAGCAATGCTTTGTATATAAATGTGACACCATTTTTCCGTGGCCTGCTGTGGACGCTTGCTCTTTGACTCCGGCCACCATACTGTGAGACCTAGGCCACAGGAAGAGGCTGCGCTTGGACCTTCTGGTAAACAGCCCCAGCTCAGGTCTCAGCGACAACCCAGCAGGGGTCACCAGACACACACTGAAGAGGACTTGGAGGTGACCCTCGCTCTAGCCACAGCAGCATGAGAGGCCCCCGAGAAAACCACTACTCAATCCAATCAACTCCCAGAACCCTAAGAAGAAATAAGATGGTCCTTTTAAGCCTCTAGAGCCATGGGGTTATACTTTATAGCACAAGAATAATTAAAATACCCTCCTTTCCTTCCCGCTCTCTTTTCTCACTCAACAAACTCCTGTCTCCCTGGAGACCTACTTGGCCTGAATCTATTTTCTCCATTGAGCCAGCAGGAGACAAGTTGGGAAGCTCCCTGATCTTAAGGGTCCCACCTAGATCTTTTTTTTTTTTTTTTTTTCCTCTCATCTTCTTTCACTAAACTAAAAGTCTCCATTCTCTAGTAGCCTCTGAATACCCAGTCTCCAGTGTGGCCTTACCAAACCATCACTTTAGAGGCTCCCCTCTCCCCTCCAGCGGATTTCTCAGATTCTTCCAGGAACCTCAACTGCAGCGTAAAGAGATGAATTAATTTACAAGGTCCACATAAGGCAGCAGAAAAGCTAAATCCCAGCCAGGTCTGCCTTTAACTGCACACTAAGGTCTTCCTTTTCCTGCACATATTTTCTTTACTATGTGGAACAAGAATATGTTTGAGTTAATCAACAAGCATACTTGTCCATTTAAAGTAAAATGTAGGACCGCAGATTTAGCTCAGTGGTGCCACGACCTGCCACCTCGCAAGCACAAGGACCCGAGTTTGATTCCCCAGTACCAAACAAACAAACAAACAAACAAATAAAGTAAAATGTAGCATTTGATCCCCGTACTGAAAAAAAGTAAGATGTAGACAGGTGTAGTTGGCACAAGCCTGTAATCCCAGCACTCAGGAGGCTGAGACAGGAGGATTGCCTCCAGTTCGAGACCAGCCTGAACGATATAGTGAGACCCTGTCTCAAAGAAAATAAATAAAGACAGCTGGGGATATCGCTCAGTGGCACAGCGCCTGCCG